GAAAGAAGTGCAAGAAATTGAAAAGAGTTTACAATAATTATTGGATTCACTTTTAGTACTAGAGACCTGGGTAAAAATTTCTAATCCCCAAGGTAAACATTAGATTGAAGGTTGATGTACTGTCTGTTGGAACTTGGTTTTCCCTTCTGATTTCAGCCTCAAGTCTGAAAATGCAGAATTATTTTGGTTAGCCTCAGTACCAGTGACCGATTTCTGGGACAAATTGAAACTGTGCAGACAGATGAAACCTGTATGAAACCAGTTAAATTAACTCTGCACCTTGGAGCAGACTGAACAACTCTCTTATTGAGAGGGCTCTGGTGAGTTTCATTTTCTTGTCAGCATCATTCCAAAACCTCACTGCAGTCCTAGGTAATGAGAGTGGCTTTTTTCTGAGTATTGGAGCCCTGCAAAGAAGGCATCCTCCAGTTTCCTCAGGTGGTCTGTTAGAGGTTATCTGCTCAGGCACACTGCCATCTGGGGATTCTGGGCTGCAGTTAACCTGGAAATTGGAGCAATCTTAATTTTAGGACTTGCCTGTGAGTCACAGGCATGCGAGCCTGGCCCAGGTCACGTCAAAGAAAGCCCTTAGTGAAAGTGTAGTGACTGAATCCATGTCCAAGGAGTCCCTGCAGGCAGGACACGGGCTCTGGGCCATTGCAGAAGCACTTGCTGCCTTTTGCCCCTAAGCATCACTCATGACCATGTGTCACACCTCCAGCTGAACCTGAGGGACTCATTTCACCTACTTCGCTCATGTGAAGGTTAGTATTAAGCTGAGGTCTCTCTTGTATTTTATAGGAGTATCATTACTCCAAAGGGAGACTGAGCCCACTGGACCTGTGCACCTTGCATATCTGTAATTAATTTCTCCCAAGAAACATGCTCAGGTGTCTGCACCTGAGGTGAAATGGGGGCTAGACTGGGGCTCCAGGACAGGGTGTAGGACAGTGCTCCCAATGTGCCAGTGACTGACAGCTGCTCTGGGGGTGGCAAAGGAGGCTTCAAGGGGCTGGGGTGTGGACCAGGGCACCACTTCACCTTCATGAAATTTGATCTGTCCCCTCCCCCCCATGCACACTTGAGTTTGTCCAGGCCAGTAATTAATATAATAATCCAGTGTCTCACAGACTGACAATGCTCTTAATCCTGCCTTTTCATTGATGAATAGTTTCTCAGTACCTCAACTGTTTTTTAGTTTCCCTAGGCAGCAATTGACCTTGTTTCCGCTATGCATCAAAATGCACTGGCAATCAAGATGCTATTGATTTAAACCTAATGGCCAGCCACTCAGGAATTTCACCCAGAAAAGAAAAATCAATGCCTCATTATTACTGCTATTATTATTGTTATCATTAATTATTATTTCCTTTTTTCCCCCCTGTTAAGGTAGTATAAGCAAAAGGCATAAGAGACTTATCAGCCTCTTACTGTTAAGCAGTACATTTGAGGGGCTGAGAACATTGAGTCAGGTTCAGCTGAATTAGCCAGCCAGTTACAGGTTGAAATGGCTCTAGGATTAAATAACTCTGCTTGATTGCATGCTGCCATATGTATCTCTCTGCTGACCTTCCCTGAGGCATGCTAGCTACACTGCTATGTGGGACTCTGAGGAAGATGTCTTGAGCAGTGCATTATCCCTATTATTGGATGAGCTCTGTGGGGGAAGGATCTCCCTGTCTTGTCCTTGCTTCATTTTGGGTATTTTCTTCTCCTTCTCCCCCATCCCTAGGGGAAGGTGTCACTTAGAATCTGCAAGATTAGTTTACAAGACTGGTTTAAATGCACAGCAGGTAAGCAGCTGGCAGATAGATCCATGGTAGGACTGAGGAACACTATCCTACTTAGTAAAGTGAAGGATGCCAGGATACATTCTGTTGTCCATAGGCTGAATGGTCCCACACCAATTGTGTTCATGCTGCTCAATTCTCTTACCTGCCAAAACAGGGTAGTTTTCCTCTTTGGGCTTCTCAGATTAGGCATGGAACCTATTTACTGCAGCGTAAGTGTTGTCTGGAGAGGGCACAGGTTGAAGCCAGGCTATGAGATGGTTTGCTGACACTTTGCTGGTCTGGGTGATTAGGGAGGATGTGTAAGCCTGTAACGTAGTGGTTCTCAGTTTCTTGGGATGATAGAGATATCCATAGAGTGTCATGAGCAGTCCTGGTTTAGGTCTTCTTCAGAGTCTTGTCTGTAGTAACTCCAAATGCTTTGGAGCAAAATCACCTTTGTAACGGTGTTGAGTCTTGAGCCTCCTTTTAACCGGGGACTTGGCTCCTGCATCATATAAGCTGATGATCATTAAAGAGCAAGGGATGGTATGGGGCAGTCCTGTGACAGTGACACTGACATCCCAGTAACATTCTGAAGTGCTCCTGGATTTGCTGCGTATTGGTAAGACTAAAATAGCGTGGAGGTCTTTTTACTTCCACTGTTAGCAGTGAAACCTTTAGCTGTCACTAATGCATGAATTCCTAATTTTCCCAGTGTGAGTTAGTTTCATTGCCTTATGAAACTCCCTGTAGTTTACTTGGAAGGGCAAAAGTTCACTTTGGCATACTAAAGCATTGTCCCCTATGGCCCAGGCTTTGCTGCAGCCATTGATGCATTGGCGAACTGTTGACCTCTTCATACATTTTTGTGGAAGGGGACTTGTTGATTTGTGCATCTTTTTCCAATTTCTACTGCATCTGTGGCATACTCCTGCTAACCGTTTCAGTTTGCTTGGACAAATGGCAGGGCTAAGAATGCCTGTGAGATGGTTCGCAGTTTTGGGTGAAGTCTCTCTGGGTTCAGCAGAGTTGATTGTTGATGTCACACATCAGGAAGTCTTTTACATCTTCCAAACCAGCTCAGGGGGAACTGAGCAAAATCTGAGAATTTACTCTTTAGCTGTGGACTTTTTCTCAGCTTCTGGCAGTGGTGATGTACTTTCATTTTGGCTTTTTGGGAGAGGTTGGAGGAAGAAGTGGAAAGTTTGTGGGCAAGCTATGGGAGGCAGAGCAGAATGATCCTGGTACCTGGATTATATACCTAGCTGGGTAAAGCAGCAAGTGTTCCCCAGCTGAGGTTGTGGCTGGTCCCACATAATCTCTGAAGCAGCCCACAGGAGATCATACCAGTTGCCAGCACTCAGTGGGGAGCAGTGGATGGAAGGTTCTTGTTCTGCAAGAACCAGTCCTAAGGTCGATGTCAGCACATTGGCCTCCCCACCCACTCTTGTCTGCTGAACTTCACTTACTTCTTCCAAAAGCAGCTCCACCTCACACCAGTACTTCTGTGCTGACATGGGCTGATGCTACCCCACTGGGAGTAGGAGGAGGGCATGGTCCTATATTCATTTAGCACAAGCATGGTTGCATATGGAAATGAGTTTTCTTTGGAGAGGCAGGGCACCTGCTCTTAGTTTTATCTGATGCAAATTAATTGAGGGGTTTTGGACTAATCCCTTGGTGAAACCAAGCTTCCAAGATCATCTGCAAATTGGTTTAATTTTGCTCACAGGTTCCCCAGGTTTGAGGCTGAGACATATGTAGTGTAAATTCCACGAGATCCCACCATGGTGTATTTTCTCTTGTGTAGCTTTCCTGGTGGTTCACTTAGGAGAAGCACTAACTATTTCACAACACAATAAAATGGGTTTTCTGCGTGTTAAACCAAACACTGTGAGTGTAAACATGTGAGCATACTGAGTTAAGCTCTCTTGTATGTTAAACATGTTTCTTGCTTCATTGGTAGTGTTAGAACAGAAGACCAGCTCTTTGAATGGTTTAAATATCTCTTGCATCCAAAAGGGAGATTGCAGATATTTGAAGTCTGGAGTTATTTAGAGAAAATAAAATTAAGCTTTTCCTAGACATTTCTCTGTTAGAGGCTGTCTGATATAAAAGGGAAATAGAGAGAATGCATCAAGTAAAAATAATACATATGTATGTGTGTTTGTATGTGTCATTCTTGGTTTCCTCCAGACAGCACACTGGGGATAGATAATCCTACTTTACTAATTTGGCCTTAGAGGATCTAGTATGAAGCTCTTTGAAGCCAGGAGCATTTCTGTTGTTTCTGTGGTCAGGCACGGAAACAAACCCCTGAACTTACTGTTGCTGTGGCAGATATATCTGTATTTCAAAAAGCATTTTCCTTTGGCTACATCTGAGGAAAACTAGCAAAAACTAGCATCCTGGTGAGAAAGTGTTTGGCCTGGAAAAAAGGTATTTTTTAGCCTTCTGATCTGTTCCTCTGATTTCTCATGCCTTAGTGCAGCCCACACAATACAGAGGCAGACTGGTGGTCAGGTGAGACAGAGGAGAGCTTTTGTTCCTGTGCAAAAGGAGGCAACCAGTTCCTGGGCCTCAGATGACTGTGCATTCAGGCTTTCTAGGTGCATCTATATGGGGTTGGTCACACTGACAAGCCCCATCTCAGCCCTTCAGTCTGTTGCCCTGAACAGCCTCGGAGGAGTTGGAAGAAGTAGGGCACCCAGAGCAAATCAGGGGATTTCAGACCCTGTCCAGAGGAGTTCTGGATATTTTTTTTAGTTCCTCTGGGTCAGATCTGATCTCACCTTCCCTGGGTGCTTTTTTTGTTGATTTTTAAGAACACTTCCTGCTTATTTTTCTTAGGATGGGTTTCCAAAGGGTAGTGAAGCACTTGCCAAGGGTGAAGGGTGGCTGCAGGCACTGACAGCTGAACACACCAGCTGCCTGCCCTTTGCAATTGCAGATTTCTGAGAATGGAAAACAGTTCTTTTATTTTTGGGGGGGTTCTTTGTTTGTTTGGGTTTGTGGGTTGGTTTTTTTTTTTTTTGGTCATTTTTGCCATTTCTTATCGCTCTCCAAGTGGGTATATATGAGAAGAACTAAGAACTAGGTCAGGGTGTGCACATATGTGGGGCATTATTTCCTCTTGAGATGATATGGAAGATGAGCTGATTTGAGTGCCGTGATGTGTTATTCATTGCCTTTGTCCTCACCTTGGTGTCGGTTTCCTTTCTTCATCAGGAAAATGGGAGCCACTGCCCCAGTGTGAACTGTCTCTAAGGTACAACAAAAAAAAGGCCACCTGTCCCACTGCCTCAGACACTTCCTAGTATGGATGGCTTGGTTGAGCAGAACAGCGTGCTAATGCACAATAAGATCACTGAAGCTGGGAAAAGGAATGGTTTAATTAATACAAGGAACTTAATGGCAGAGAGTGGAGATGGTCTGGTCTCTGTGTACTCGACTCCACAGTACCAGAGTCACCGAGTGGGCAGCCTATCCTCTCCAAGTTGCCTGGAGAATGGCAGGAATGACCCTGTGCATCAGCTCCTGGACCCCAACATGCTGCAGCAGACAGTGGAGTCTCACTACCGGCCCAACATCATCCTTTACTCTGGGAATGTGCTGCGCTCGTGGGGTGAGAGCATTAGCTCGGAGTGCTGTGAAACTACCTTCATCGAGGACCGCTCTCCCACCAAAGACAGCCTGGAGTACCCAGACAGCAAGTTCATCGATCTGTCAGCAGATGACATCAAGATTCACACCCTCTCCTATGATGTTGAGGAAGAAGAGGATTTCCAGGAGCTAGAGGTCAGATGTCATTTGGGATATGTGGGGAAGGCTGGGAGGAGGAGGGCGTATTTGAGATTAAGCCTCCAAGAGCTGATCTGCAGGGGATCAGCTGCTTTGTAAGCTAGTCTGCATGGGGTCTGCTCTATCACTTTCTCCTCCAACCAGACAGTGAACGATCACTCATCTTTATTTGTTGCGTAAAGTCCCAGTTCTGTGGATACCAATGGCAAAATTCCCACTGGCCCTAATGGAGATCAGCATTTGCCTCCTGCCTCTGAATGGACTGGTCAGAAACTGAAGAAGACCCAAGTGCTTAAACACCGTGTAAGGTCAGGGCTGGGAGCATCTGTCCACCCACATGGAGCTTGTCTTACTCAGCAGGCCAACATCTTCTCTTCCCTTCACCTAACTTGAACTGGGCATAGAGCAGAAGAGCAGAATGTTTTACATACTGGCTGTAAGACTCAAGTCCTGAAACCTCAAGCTTTACTGAGAGTATTACTTATATTTAAGGCTCAAAATTGCAAAGTCTTTTAGTTCTTTAATATCTTGAGATCACATAAAGAGAAAGTGCAATATATGATTTCCCAAGAGATTTCTTTTAATTTGGTGAGAAAATTGGCATTTTGGCAAAAGGTTCACAGGGCAACTACAACCAAGATAAAGCATTCCACCCAACTCACACACCAGCTTAGTAAAATACAACCCGTCAGTTTTAAGTTATCCAAACGAGATTAAGGAAAAAGTAAAGAAAGAAAAGAGATTAAGAGAAGAAACAGGAGTAAAAAGAAAGAAGACAGACGGAGTAAAGAAAGAGATTAGAATAAGAGAAAAATAGTTACTGCCGAGAATCCTTCACATGGTGACGGCCACAGAAGAGAGAGAAAAAGGAAGTGGAGACTTTGTGCCCTTGTATTTATATTGTCTGGCCACTCTGGCCACCCCTCTCAGGGTCTGGTTCACTGCCCACTCAGAGCCCTCCAGGCCAGAGTGAGGGGTGGTGCAGGCAATCAGAGGCTCAAGGGGGCATGGTATGGGTGGGCTACCAGGAAGGCCCTTTGATTGACAGATCTGCCATGCGGCTTCCGTGCTGGAGTTGCCATGTCCAGCCCTGCCATATAGGCTTCAACCTGGCCTGTTACTGTAAATCGACAACAAGAAACCTCTAAGACTCAATCTGTGAGCATTAGTGGTCAGGCATTCTTTTACTATCAGCACTGAACACACAGGAGGATCGCTCCTCTAGTCATGTGTGTGTCCCTTCTTGGCTCAGTGTAGCTAATATTTACTCACAGTTTTACATATTCAGTAAATATCTTACATATTCACTACTTCTCTTATGAAGTTCATACATGTGTTAATTAGTTCTAAGAAGTTCTTCGGAAGTCCTTATTTGGTCACTAGGGGTCTTCTGGTGGAACCTGAGTGGTCTCTGGTGGTCATTTGGAACTTGAACTCTACTTGACCTTGTCCATTGAGCAGCGTATTTACAGGTGGTTGTAAAGCACCTTTGTTCAGCATCTCTTATCCAAAACCTGGATACTCATGTTACCGCTGCTTTAACTAAAGCATTCAGAAATTTGCTTATTCTGCAACTACCTTAACAGAAACTTACATTGTAAAGGTCGATAGAACATTACTAAACAATAGAGAATTATTTCTCTCACACCCCTTCCCCCCACATACACAGTTTGTTCTGACCCAGTAAAGAATCCAGTGAGATTTGAATCCAGTCTCTCACACTGGCTCAAACACATAACATTTCTGTCTCTGACTGAACACAGAATCAGCAGTCCTTGGGTTTCAAGCTGCAATGAATCCCATGTCTCTGAAATAAAAGATATTTTTCTGAGTGAGGGAAACACTTCATTAGATCCAAATACAGTGTTTTCTTCTGGATTCCTGTGCTTCCTTAATTGCTCACTGTAAAGTAATGGGGCAGACTATGGAAGAGAGAAGTGTTTTTCCCAGTGTGTGCCAGTAATGCAGTATTCAATGCATCCACAGGGAGACAAAAAGTTTTCTCTCTGAGGCATGTGAGGTGTTAACTCGAATCACACCCTTCTACAGCATTTCAGAATTGACTGTGGGAAGTATAATTTTCTTAATCAAAACAAAATCCCTAGTTGCTGTCTTTTTGCCCCAGTTTCTCTCGTGCAGTAGTAATACAAGTGACTGCATCACACGTAATTGCCTAATGCTGTGATTGACACATCTGGCCTGGCATTTAGGCAGTAAAAAAAAGTCTCCCTCTTCTCAATCCAAACCAACAAGACCTTCCTTCCTTAGCCAGCTATTGGAGAACAAGCTAAAAAAAGGCTGGGGAAATAAGCAGGATAAGGAAAAATGTTTTTACCAGAAATACTTTTCTTGGTGGGATTTTTAAAGTGTCTTTGCAATATAGAACCCTCAATCTCTTCAAAGTAGTGCTGTAGGAGCTTGATCAGCTTTTCATAAAGAACATTTGTGTTTAAAAAACCAGCTGTAGAACTTCCTTCCCTGTCTCAGATCTTAAGAGGAGAAAGGAGACAGTGTTTGCAAATTTTGGTACCATGCTGTGACAGTGTGTGCATCGTTTTCCAGGGCTCCTTCTTCTTTCTGACCTATTTCTCTGGACTGTAGCATTCTGAGATCATATATGTCACTTCTTAAATGGGTGTACTGCATCTGGCATCATGGATTCCCACCCTCACTTAACCCTTTGGGATGTTACTGCTCTAATAAACAGAGAGGTGTATGGACAACCATCCTGACCTACATATACAAAGTACTGAGAAGAGGAAGACATTCACAAAGTACACACCACCCATGCATCTTCCTTTCTATCAAGGTTTCTTCTCCACTAGGAGAATAGAGCAAGGGAGGAGAAAACAAGGCAAGATTTGGGTAAGAACCTGGTTAGCTGAAACCACGTGCATTGCTAGAAGCCTCTGCTTTGAGCCCAGTATACATCTTCATTGCTGTGCTACTTGGTCAACCCTGTACAGCACTGTGATTTTCACACTTTTCTGTGAACCAAATCCAAATGATCAACATGCTGCGCTCAGCATAAGGAATCTCAGCATGAGGAGTAACTTCCATTCCAGGAAGGTCCAAATTCTGCAGATGCAGCTGGTCATGCAGAAAGATGGGTAGGAGAGATGCATTTGGCAGCACAAGACCAGCAGAAAAGGTGACTGCTGTGTTTTGCTCCTCTGGTTCACATGTGGTATCATTGTGGCCAGATGCATGAGGGCCTCCTGGACTTGGCTAATACAGAGGTTCTTTAGAGACCCAACTTCATGTGTTGAGACTCCAGGAATGGAATAAAAGTTTTTAAGGACAGCAGACACTGAACAGGGGAGTGAACCATGCCAGATGGTTAACTACATAAAAATTTGCTTATATGTCCAAATGAGAAAAACAGCACCTGAATCACACAGCACAAGTGTGTCACACTAGTAAAATTTTTTCCCCAGCAATTGCTGAAAAGAAGCAAATACTTTTTAAAGTTACTAACAGACTCAAAGTGGAGTGGAAAGGGTTAATACCAGGACTGAGAGCAGAAGTTAGAAGGGGAGCAATGGGAGACGTGATATAGCAGAGGTGCAAGATTTGCTTCACCACAGTGAGAGCCTTAAAGGATTTGATTCTACTCTTGAGGATGTTGCTGCATATCGTGCTGCATTGACTGTCATGCCACAGCTCATCAAGGCATGAGAGCTGCATAGGGTAAGAGCAGTTCAGGGCTCAGTTCTTGTAAGGGTTTTTTATTGTAACGTATTTGCTTTGTCACTTCTTTCTGGGAGAAAACTGTAAAAACAGCCCCTTTTTGGCAACACTAACAAATAGGGGAGCTTTGTGCAGAAGAGCTGTTGTCTGTTGAAAACTGAGGGCTACCTCCTGTTCTCCATGTGTCAGTGTGGATTCCCAACTTGGACATCTCAGTAAAATGCCTTCTGGAAGACAGAACAACCATGGCGTTGTGAGTCATTTCTCTTCCCCCATGTTTCCGTGGCACTGCCTGTCTAATAGCAGAGTGCCTGCCTAGGGTCTTTCAGGATGGATATTTAGTTTCTTAGAAATGCCAAAAAATTGAACTCATCGCTTTGTAGTGACTCCCTCCATGCAATCTTTTCAGGAGGGACACATGCAGAAAATATTATTGCTAGCCAGACTATTTCTACCAGGATTTTGTTTTTTGAAGAGAGTGGGGCTCTTGATAACCAGAAAGGTTGCTGTTCTCTTGCACAAAACTTTGCAGTAGAGAAAGGTTCTGAAAAACCCAGCTAGTTTGAATGACAGTGATTTGGTTTTGGTTTGAAGAGTTGATCCAGATAAGTTGCAGGAGTTGCTGCTCTGTTACCTGTGACCCTCTTCAGGATGAGTGTATCCAGCTCAGCATGTCACTGACAAGTTGCCTAGAAGGAGACTCCTTCTTCCCTTCCCCGAGCCTGGGGACTCCAAAGAACTTGGGAGATGTAGCAGGAGACATTCTAAGGGTCCTACACATTGCTGCAACAGTGTGGGCACATTTAACTTACTTATTGGAGTTTTTTTTACTAGGAGTGTTTCTCAGGTCCTGGTGTAATGTTATTCAGTCTGCCTAAGAAAATCATAATTGTCAGGAGGGAAAAACATTTCTGGAGCAGATCTCATTAACATATACAGCCCTGCTTTGCTCCAGCAATTACCAAGCATGAAAGCAGAAGGCTGCACATTCTGTCAGGGCTTTAAACTGCTCTCTTTGGTGCCTATCTCTGAAATCAAATGATTCCCTATTTAGGTATCTCTGGATCACTTATAAATATCTTATGAGTTCTTTATGCCACAAGTAAATAGATAGACGACTTGTCCAATGTGGCGGCAGTGAAATATGACATGAGTTAAATGCTGAAATACTCTTCTCTTAGAGTTCATGTATAAATGCAGTGCCATCTTTTATCCAGAAACATAATTTGTCATATTACACTCCTATATTACTCCATATTACTGCTAGTTTCCCTTCTAACCCCTAGATTGATGGTTTATTTAGAGAA